AAAACAAGGGTACTACTTGAGTTTCACGGCCCTCGCGATAAACCACCAAATTATGCAAAACACGGTACTTTTATGAATTTGATGAGCCGCTTGATACTGTAATAGTCTTTTATTTTGTAAAACAAATTGAGAATTTTTAATTTATCGTGATTTACCGTTAATTTTTAATTTTGCAATGTGAAAAGTTGTAAACAAAAACAACACATTTGGTTGTAAACAACCAAAATGTGGAAAGATTATAGGGCTTTGTTAAATGGTCAAAAAAATGTAAAGAGATACAGCTTGACATCATCTAGAATCATATTTCTCCGAATTCATTGTGGCGAATTCATTGTTTCTCCGAATTCATTGTGACGAATTGTTTGGGAAAGAAGCTTTTTGATGCCATATTGGAAGCAGTCGTGGAGATATGACAGCCACAAACGATATTCGAGTAGTTTAACCTTGGCGACGATATTCGCGCAGTTTTGTTGAAAATAAAGTAGAATAAAAATAGTGTTTGATAATAAGTTTCAAGTCATTTTATAGTTCATTAACCTAGTTGGGGAGGCATAAAATTAAAAAAAGTGTCACATAGCTGAGATACCATGCGGCCCTTTAACCATCTGTTCTCCGATTCATTTAAAGACAAAACACTCAAACATGATTCCCTTATAAAAAGTTTTCTCATAATCTCTGACCGGAACAGTTCTGCATCAAGAACCTGTTTGAGTCTCTAAGCTTCTCCAAGACCGAAGAAAAGAATGAAAGATTTACTTTTTATGTGTAGTGCAGATACGACTTATACTTAATTACACGTTAAGAAATGATAGAGGATAATTACACAAAAAATAAGCTGATAAGATAGAACAATACAAGAACTGACAGTTAAGTCAATTAGAATCTACGTCATTTAATGATTAATGTACAGAAATATAGATATTTATTATAAAAGTTAGAATTATCTTTATCGAAAAGGGTTTCGTTTTATTAATAATCAGATGCCTGAATTCTGCCTGAAGGATCGCAATACATAGCGTTAGAAATATTGCTTATTAATCGCAAATCTTCATAGTTATCAGTTGAATGTTTAAGTTATTAATAATTGCATTTACTGCAATATTTAAATTATTGAGAAATGCAAATATTACTCTGACAACACAAAATTTGTAGAAAAAATATTGAAATATTTCGGTGTTACATTTCATTCAACTATAGACCAAACGATTATCTGAAGTACGTAACATATGGAATTAGATATGTCTTTTATTCATTATAATAATGGCTACAAAATTTAATAGTACTCAAGTTCATAGTTGTTATAAATTCAAATGTACTTTAAGTTATGTGTTTTAAAAATATTGTTAAAAACAAAATATAGATTTAAATTATTAAGAAGAGCGTTTGCCAAATTCAAATTTTCAATTTGCTACCTTTATTATTAAATTTGAAGAATCTGTATGTATGCATGTACGTGCGCATATATCTATACCCGAATAGTTAAATTATCCTTTTGGAAGCTCGTTATAATTAAAAAACTTAATTAAATTAAACTATAATTAAAAAATCTTCTTTTAATCGAACAGTAAACATTAGATAATTTTTGTGACTCAAATTTGTCCCTCAAAAGAGAAGTTTTAAAAGAATATTAAGTGTAAGGAAAATACGATGCAGATGTAGACTTCTAAGAAAACGATATTTTATAGTTTCAATTTAATGCATTTAAAATTTTTCACATTATTTTTAGAATTAAAAAATGTCTGATCACTTGACATTGTACGTAGTTAAAATATCTAAATACTGATGCAATTTTTTTTTGTTTTCTTTTGGAAAAAGCTTAAAATAAAAAAATTCCAAATTCTGTTTTACTCTATATTCTATTTTACTCTAGGTATATATGCACGTATGTATGTTCCTCACATTGTGGGAAAATGACGGCTATCTACAGAAACCAAATTTTGCACACATATTGTCTTTCTTTCCAACATGTGTACCTTTCGAAACTCGTGTTTTGAATTTTGAATTTGTTTTTATTTATTTAATTTTTGTACGATAAGTTTTGATAGCAGTATCTTGATATTTGGTAAAACATAAGATATTTATGTTTCAAATTTAATCAGAAAACACGGCAATTGGAAAGAAATGCGTTAACGCTGACCAAAGCAAAATATTTTTGTCCTCCACGCACCACTGTTTCCATCTGGCAAAGCATGAAAAACTTAGTTTTCTTTCCGAATCCGAAATGTCGATTATTAAGCGTTTTAAAGTTTTTCATCTCTATTATTATCAGTTACTAGGTGGTCCCGTCAAATTAGATAAGAGGGACTCATTAAAATGATCCTTTGTCCTTTTTAAGTGTGTTAATAATAGGTGTTTTAAGCGGCTGGCCTCTCAAGTGGCTAGAAATTTGAAAGATAAACATATTACCTCAAGTTGAATTGATAACGCATTAGAAATTAGAAATTGGTTAACTTGCCAATATGAATTAAAGTGAATTAAAAATGTTAATATATGTTTCGCGCAGTTTAATAAAAAAATATTAGCACATGTTTCGCGATTGTTAATACGTGTTCACTCAGTCAATTAAAAATGTCAATACATGTTTCGCGCAGCTGGAATACGTATCAAATTGTGTAAATGATAAACGCATAACGATATGTAAATGCCCAAAATCTTTTGGAAAGACTCTGCTAAAAATATTTCAAATATCAAAACGAGAACAAACGTAAATAAAGGTAACAAAAATTATTCAATTTCCTTACTCGCTGAGTTTCTATGAATATAATAGCATAAACTATTAAATATCCTCACCCCCAGATAAATGTTAAAAAACGCAAAATCTTTTAAATTAAACTGAAAATCGTAGAATAAAATTTTAAGAAAACTTTTCAAATATATAACAAATAATAAATTTAGCTTTAAATAATCGGTCGATAAGATTTCCTTTCATTCAAGACCTTATGGCTAGTTTATGTAAAGTAAAAGCTTACGTAAAGTTTGAGGAAAACTGCCTTATGTTCATCAAAACATTGACAATACCCGATGTCGCAAACTGACAGGAATATGTTTTTTTTTTCTTTTTGAAATTATGCATAATGAAACCTAGTTTCGGCTAAATAAAGAGCTGCAATTCTAGTTTAAACATTATGTAAATTACCTGTTTTTTAACCCTGTGAAATGTCCTAGACGGCTGTATCAGTTTACAGTGTCGTAAACGGAATGAAAATAGTTGACTAGAAACAAGTAAAAAGATTCTTGTAACATTAATAACTAAAAAGAAAAGACAACATTTCCTCTAAATGACAATATGATATTTATGATTATGAGATATGATTACTAGGAAATTCTCTTTATTTTCTTTATAAATTAATCAAACACAGTTTTGAGTTAATTATTTTCTTACTTTGAGTTAATTATTTTTTACTTAGTATACAGATTGTACTATCATTTACTTACTTTTCTTACACTTAGTAAGATTCAGAAAATACTGTGGCTCACAAAAGTTATAAGGTATTTCTCCCACCCTTTTGGCGTACCTTTGTGGTGTAGTGGTCAGCACACTGAGCCGGTATTTCAGAGGTTCGTGGTTCGATTCACGGCGAAGGCGATTGCATATTTTTTAGCTCTCCTGCTTCCAAAAAAAATCCTAATGTCTCTACAAAGTGATCGAAAAGTAAGTATTCGAAAGACCTCAAATGCGTAAAAACGTAATTATAATATTTTTAAGCATGCTTAAAGTTTTTTTTTTTTATAATAAATGCTTTTTTTTTTTTTCAAAAATTAAATACTGATCTCAGAAATTAATATCTTCTTAAAGTACGAAAATTATGTCACAAAATTATTCGATGCAAATAAAATTAGACTTTAAATAAAATTGCCTGAAATAAATAAAATGTGTTACTTCGCCAAGAATTTCTTAATGTCATGTGCCTTAGGGCTTACTTAAAATGCAGCCGGCAAAATTACACGAATATCTAATAATTCAGGCAATATGTTTATAAGCTGAAGTTGAAAATATATACTTTTATGACGTTATTTTTAAACGAAGCAACAAGCAACATATGAAAAATCCTTACTCGAATTCTTAAATATTCTTTGAATTTGAATTTTGCAACGTTTGGTTATGATTTCTTCAAGAAAGCATATGCAATTAGAAAATAAAAACAAATTGTTCTTAATTTTCAATTAGAGAAACATAATTTATTAGGAAAGTTGTGTAAGCAATTAATTTAAAGAATTTAACAGCTATGCTTCACTGTAAAATACTATTAAAACTGACTGCAGTCTTGAGATATCATTAAAGATACTTGTTAAATTGAATAGAATGTTATTAAGAATAATTAAAATAATTAAAGATTGGGCGTACTCGAACTTAAAACAGACTTTATTGATCAATTAAAATATTTTAAATCAAAACACTAATAAAATAATAATCCGATATGCTGTGTATAACGTCCGGATAGCAAGTTAAAATTTCGACATCGGAGAAAGAACAGAAACTTAAATTTTCTTGAAAATACTTATAATAATTACGAAAAAATCTGAATACTAAGGTAATATAGGCACAAACAGAAATCAATATCAGTAATAAAGATGATTAATTTTTAACACACAGAAAAGGACAAAGACGAATTTTAAAAAAGAAATGACGGAGAAGGAATTTTAATGTAGGGATGAATATCACTCTTTAAAACAGTAATTTGATATTTGTTTATTTTATAATATATTAACACGAACATGTTCATATTTTAAAATAAATTTAGAGATTATTAGCACAAAAATACTTAACCTTCAGATTCCAATCTTATTGCTACAAACACGTGATGTTGGTGTTGTTCAATATGGTATTGTGTAGGAAGGAAATTGGTATTGTGTAGAAAATAATATTTGATTCTTTTGTAATTATCTAAAGTATTGTATATTTTTCGTTAGAGACTTTAAAATGAAAATGCTCATTTCTTTAAATTTAAGAATAAAAAAAAAATTACTATACATAAAACAATTTCAAATCAAATAATTACTTTTCGTAAATGCGTGGAATTCCACAAATAGGACGATGTCTGCTGTAAAACCTGTTTTCCAAATCGATTTTCGTTTCACCGATTAAATCGTCTGAGCCCATCAGATCCCAGTCATACAGCTGAATTTGAAGCACAGAATCAATTGGAAAATTTGCCACGAACTCAAAGCATCTAAAATTAAATATAATAATAACTACTAAAAGAATTCATTAGAATAAAAGCAGCTTTGTTCTTGGATTCATTTAGAAACTTGTTACGATTCTTTATCATTTGGAAGAATGCATATGTAAAAGCAAAAGCGAAGCAAAAATCAAATCAAAACTATAATCTGAATTAGATTTATAGTTCAACTGTTGTTTATTTTTTATTAAACTTAGGCGAGATCCAAGTGTTTTGATAGCTTCGAAATACTTATTTACTTACCATATTCTTTGTTAATAGTTTTGTAATATATCATCAAACAATTTCAAAACGCAGTCCCTACTTTTTTTTAAGAAGTCTGAATATTTCCTAAATTTTCAACATATCGTCACATGATATTCTTACAATAATATTTCCTTTCGATTTTTCAGAGTTACTTTGAAAACAAAAGGAAAAAATGAAAGGAAATCTAGGTAGTAACTAAAAATTTCATTTAGTATTTCAAGAAAGCATCAGTTGACAAGTGATGAATCTGTTATTAAAGATGTATTCATTTCAGTAAATTCTAAGTTTATTTAAGATTTTTCAGGAATTTTAGCTACTCTTTTTTAGTAAACAAACTACCTGCATTTAATGAAAAATTAAGTTTTCCTTTGTAGTGACTGTATTTGAGAATCTTGCCACTGAAATTTTGAAATCATCAAGAAAATCTCAAACTCTGATTTTCATGAAACATACTTAGAAAACTCAGGAATTTAAAAGAAATTACTTTTGCTTATGAAACAAATTATGATTCCTTTAAATGCAGAAGTTGTTAAGTTGCTTTTATACATCAGTTTGCTTACATGTGAACTACAACTGTAGAGACATTAAGTTAATTGGAAGCAGGCAAGATGAAAAATGAGCAATCGAACCACGGATCTCTGGAATACCAGCCCAGCGTGCAGAACCACTACACCACGAAGGCATGCTAGGAAGACGGGAGACATACCTTATACAATTACTTTATAGGGGAATAAATTTGCTTGTATAAACTGAAACACAAAAAAAATTCTAATCGATTCAAAGTAAAATTTTAAATTACGGCGTTTATGCCTGAATGTTTTTTATCCAATCAATTCTGACTAAGATCCATGAAACGGAGTGACATTAAACAAGATCAGTAATGCCTTTAAAGCTCAATTTCTACAGGAAACAGATCACCGAACTTGTATTTTACAAAGGCTGCGTCTCCATCACTAAGCTGTCTTCGCAGGGATATATGTTTGTAAACAAGTCGTTGTAAATGGGAATCACCAACTGAAGTGAAAATCAATACTACTGGAAGAAACTACCAGCAACTTAGACAGCCTGGAGACTCCACAGACTCCAGGTTGGAGCCATTGGAATATCAAGGAAACTTTTCCTAATTTTAACAAATGTTTTGTAAAAATAGATTTTTTATTTGCTTATAGGCATTTGTTGCTTAAAATTGTGAAAAATCTATTGAATAATTGTATCATGTACTTAAAAGTTCTGATAGGATTCAGAAAATAAATTGTCCTCTGGAGATGCACTTGCTCTCAGAGGACAAAACTCTGAGAGTCTGTAAATCTGAAAATTATAGACCTCATCATGGCATAAGGTTTTTTTCTTCTTTCCCAAGTGCCTTCGTGGTGTAAATGGATATAAAGTCCGAATAGCAATTGGAGGTTTGGTGTTCGAATCCCGGCGAGGGCACTGCTCATTTTTCACATCTCCTGATTAAAAAAAAAAAGTAATGGCTGTACAAGAGAACACGTTTCTTCTAAGATGCAGGCCTTAAGAAGCAAGAATTCTGAAACTTGTTGCAATCAGCGGTGATCTGATTCAGCTTGTATCATACTAAATTGTAAATGTGATAAAGATACATTTTTAATATATACTGCGATGAAATTTTATAGACGTACCCAAGTTTTATTTATTTATTATAAATAAAATTTACATATTGATATTAAAGTGTTTGTGTTGCTACAAAACTTCATGAAGTCAGTGTAAATTTGAAATGATAAAAAGTGAATTAATTATTTTGTATACGTCAAAAACAAAAAGAGAGGATCTTCTCTAGTTCTAGAAATTTTATGGTTCCATTTAGTAGGCATATGGAATCCATTTAGTAGGAAAGCGATAGTCTATTTTTGTACACTGGAAAGTAAATTGAATGAAAACGGTTATAAAATAAATGTTGCTGCTTTTTTAATGTAATCAATAGGTTCAATTTAAAAAATTAAGCAACCGGTATTTTTGTTTTGCATGTTTTTCCTTCGTTTCCACTTTTTCATTCCTAATTAACCCAGATTTTCTTGCATTTTGATGCAGGTTCCTTATCAAGCTGTTGCGTATTTTTGTCTCTTTCGATATGGCCTCGAAGATAGGCCTTACAGACTTTTGTCAAAACCAAAAGTTACACCAGGAAAGGCTAGCCTGAATTTTCGTCTTTCTGTCCCCGCCAAATTGCCCATGGAGACAAACGTCCCGCCATAACTCCAGTAACAATGGTTAATGGCCATTATTAACGCGGGGAGAAATATTGATGTTTTATGATGACAGCCTTACAGTGGCTCTAAATAAGAAATACATGACTAGTGAGGTAATAAATGCATGGAAGAAGAATTTGAAATTTCAGTTTTAGAGCAGTTTAAGAAATAAACAAACAGCTCTTTTTCCAAGTTTTTACTATCTACACTGTTCAATAATTTTGGAAAGTTCTGCAAGTTGCTGATATCGCATAAGCGTTATTTTTCTATAAAATTCTTAGTGTCATGAAGCATCGCTATGACATTTACATACGTTTCAGACAATTTTGCTCTTCTTTGAAAGGAATTGTCTTTGAAAATATCAGTATCAATATAATGTTCATTAATCGTATTTAATTATGTTCTACTTCTATACAGAAATATCGGCCACTTTCAGAGACGTCCCCCCCCAAAAAAAAAGCATGCTTTTAACGCTTTAAGTTACATGACCACTTAAAGCGTTAAAAGCACCATTCATAAGATTTGCTGTCATTTTGTACAAATTCTTTTGGTATTTAAATATTTTATTTTATTTTTAACGCCCCTTCCAGCCACCATTATGATGAATGGAAAGTTATGAAAACCAACAGCAGAATACTCAATTAAAAAAATTAATTAATAAAAGATAAATAAACTCTTCCTATTATAGAAGAATGCTTTGGAACCTAAAAGAAGTGATGCATATTCAAATTGCCTTCAAAATCGATAGTTCTACTTAAAATCTATGCCAATTTGAAATTCGTTTCAGCTGTTTATCAGCGGAACAAAAACTGGTTGCCCCCAGAAGTTGAGTAGAAGATCGCTGAGCTTTACACATTTGATTCATGTTCGAGTCCCAGCAAATGCTCTGGCTGCATAGCACTTTACGTGGTTTTCCTTATTTGTAATGCAAACAAGAGTCAGTTTCCCTTAGAAAATGATCCTCGAAATCATCCCTCTCCTTAAGCTAATAACCCTCGTTTATATTGTCGTACATGATTTTGAACTTGATTTAAAAAAAAATTAAATCTTGAGATCTATGAGAAATTTTGAAACGAATTCTAAATCTCTGAAGAAATTAATTACAAGCTATAATTCAGAAATTCCAAAATTTCGAGAAAGCAAAAAGTTAGAAAATATCACGTTTGTTTCTATAATCTGGGCACAAAAATTAGCATCTTTAATTATTGCTTGATATCTATGTTATATATAGAGTTCGCACTATATATAACATGGATATCAAGCAATATAAAAGGCTATTTAAAATATGATTTATATTCATATATGTTTAAATAATTTCTCACAGCATATTGATGCAACCCACATCATATGGAGCACATTATTGCTTTACGAAAGTTCGCTTTAAGAAAATTCCATCTTTCAAACAATTTGCACTTTTTCATTTTATGAAGAATATGTAAAAAGGACTTTTATTTTCATGATAAAAAGCGAGTAGCAAAATCATTGGATGCTTCTTTTACGTAATATATGAAGGAAAGTAAGCCATTAATTATAAAATTGTACATAAATTTTAAGGTAGTTTTATAAAGTCGACTGCGAAAAATGATATGACATAAAAATATGTCCTTCTAAGCAATCAAGCATACTGACATATTTTAAGCCGTTTGCATTAGCCACAGCATAACACAAATCTCAATTATCAACACTGAAGCGAGTATGAAAATGAACAACATTCATAGTGAATTGATAGATATAGACAACGAATTTTTCTCTCTTCTACTACCAAGTCTCATGTATTCCCACCATTTAATTGCAGACGACTCAATTTAAGGCATTTTCGCTACTGCCATCATTGTTATGTCTTCTAATATGCTCAAACTCTTCCCAGTCTTAGAAGAAATTAAATCATGTATATGTAATGTATATTCATTTGACTTGTTTACATACCATATCATTCTTTCATTTCGTGTTATTTTAGTTTTTATGCATTTTTGATATTGTTTGAAATCTTTCATAATTTTGAAGAGATGGAACACTCAAATCTTTCCCGTATAAACTAATAGTAGTCGTTACTTTCTGCTCATTTTAGCTTACACAGGAACATTTACACAGGAACATTACATTTTAGTTTTTACAGGAAATCTTTCCTTTCATAAAGTAGGCAGAAAGGAGAAACCTATAACGGATAATTTAAAAAAGGGTTTTTTCGACACTGATTTTGAATTACGGAGCGAATTCAATAGCTACGACTGCTTTCTGAAATGCGTTTTTAAAGTGACTATTCAAAGAATGAAAGCATGATAAAGTGAAATTGGAGAAATTTCACATTAGAAGCAATTACCGAGTTCATTTTGGTTCTCTGTCTGCCATAGAAATATCACGTACGCTACACAGTGGCCATGATAAGTCGTGACGTCATGTTGTTCACATTTCCTTCGCTTCATTTTTGTGACATCATGCTTACTCCATATACTCTAACCTCCTCAGTTGCTACTGCTCGAAATAGAATATTTTTATCTTTCACGCGCTAATCTGTTGCCATTTGACGATATGTAA